GGAAGTTGAAAGAACCAAAAAACAAATCTAAGAGATATTCTAATTTCTTAGCAGAAACTTCTGGAAATAATTCGCTACCATTTTGGGGTAGTTTAGTTACAAAACTAAGAGCCTTCTTATAATATGAAGCACAATGAAACCACGCGGTGGAGACCCAAGAATCACTTTAAGTAATCAGATCTGACAAGTTGACGAACTAGAAGAAATTACCAGTTGATATTGCAACAACTACATTGCTTGCTTTGCTGCTTCAAAATTTTGGCCGATTTACTAACTACAGAATGGTGTAAATGAAGGAGAAGACCTGTTCACGTTTATTACATAAGAAATTCTGTGAAAGAATCATTTTTATTACGAATACAAGAAATAAATCGATATAACAATGTAGGGAAAGATATTATCCTAATGCTTATTACACTTCTATACCATAAGATAAGATAAGATTGAGTCAGAACAGTTGTTTATGGTAGAAATTGTATTCAGCTTTTTATCTGGCTATTGAGAATATTTAAAGGCATCAACAGACTAACAGACATAAGAACAATCAAGGTCGAGAAACATACCGTTTCAAAAACAGCATACTTTTCGCCGATGTTCATGCCAGAAACTAGACCTGGTCCACCCACAAGACCGCACGCAATGTTCGAGATGATATTACCATAAAGGTTCGGCATAAGCATCACATCAAACTGCTGAGGTCGTGAAACCTGTATACAGAAGTGATTGTTTTCAGAGACAATCTTCAATTTTATAGTTGGCTATATGTCATATTAATGACTCTTCTCATACTAATTAACAAGCTTGAATACTTAATTTCCGTTAATTACTCGGTTTAAGCCACCACGATGATAGTGAAGTGATTGAGCACCGACAACAGTGGATGTCCTACATTAAGGACCTCAAGAACATATTCTTTATGTAAATAATTGATAATTCCCAATTTCTTGATACTATTCCACGTAATATTTAGGCCATACCAACTGCATGCAAGCGTTATCAACTATCATAGAATCAAATTCGATGTGTGGATATTCTGTTTTCGCAATCTCCTCCACCACCTGAAAAAAAGGCTATTTAAAGCAATGTGTCAAACGTTTCTTATTGGAACAATATGTCAGCTTGGTGCACGTAAATCGACAGACCGTATTTTCTCATCTTTTAGCTATTATGTAACAAAGACTCAACTGCAAGAATAGTCCGTCTCCAAGCTTCTGAATATTAGCTTTGTGAATCGCAGTTACTTTTTTGCGATTGTTCAACGTCGTATATTCAAATGCCATACGTGCGATTCTCTCGATGCAGGGACGAGTAACAATCTGAAACCAAACATTGTGGTTCCAAAAGCAGATAATTATCTACTGATAGAACAAATAAAAGGATCTGTTTGAATTAAGTAAAAATGAAGAACAGATATTGATAAACATCGTATTCAAGGAAAAACGCAAAAAGGCTTGTTTCGTGTTTTTATCTAATGATTGTGCAAAAACCATTGCTACTTATTTCTTTGCTTTGTAAATTAGAATAAAAATGTTCGAACACTTGACAAAGCTCCTCTCGTCAATAGGTAAGGAGTAAAAAGTTATTTTTTTCATAGTGCCATCTACCTTGATGCTTTGAATGATTCCAGGTAACGTTTCATGCTCCAGTCCGGAGTATTCGCCCTCAGTGTTTTCTCGAATCAGAACGATATCGATATCCTGATGACTTTTGGTTTCACGTAATTTCAATTAACAGCAAAAAAAAAGGTATTATGAAGCGTGTGCCTTATGTCTGGCAGGTATGGTTGGAATCGTCACACAGTGAAGAATATTGGCATACAAATCAAGTCGTTTACGAAGCTCTACGTTTCGGGAATTGTAATCTGGATCGTCATGTTTCGTCTCAATGTTGCCCTAAAATGGATTGGCTACAAAATGAAGAATATAAATTATCGGAATTTGACAGTAGTAAAATACAACGGGAATATAAAGAAACTGAATTATATGAGTTTCAAGTTAGAAGTACGTATTTGTTTTGATGAATTCAAATGATAGCTAGTTGGTCAATCAGAACACAAAAAGCCTGCGTATACGCAGATTGCCACAAAGAATTGATCAACGCCAGAGCTCATGTTATCGAGCACCGATGGAGGTGATACAATGATACGCACACCCGGATACGGTCTGGGGCTGCTTCCCATGAATACCAAGCTCAATATTCTTCCGGAAAAAGTAAGCTGGTACCAGAAAAACCTGGGTAGGGCAAACAACAGTGATCTGGTGAGCAGTGAGTCAACTATTGGAAGTATAAACCAGACTTGCATTCAATCACCACCACAATATGTTGGACAGGAATGTACAGAAGCATCTCGCAACAGAGATTGATCAACATCAAATTTCATGTGAATAATCTAATCGCTACCCGATCGATTGGTTAGGTAGTTCGCCATTTATTACTATTGTTCCAATGTCTTCTTTTTTGTGCTTTAAAAAAGTGATTAGCGCATCACATGTATTACGTAAATGCTGACGTTCCAATGGATTCCTTATACTTCAAAGCGTGATATGGTCCATATCAAAAATGTGGTCAATAAGGCACCCAAACAAAAGATGGCAATTGATTAACAAACAAGATCAGTTCATTTAGATAGAAAAGTTAGTATTCATACCAATGTATGATGCAGCTTAAGCCATAAAACAAAAAATAATCTATCATACCTTGATCGCAACTCCATTTCTTTCTATTGCTAACAGGGCACTGTCCATATCTCCATCGACCAGATGAGAACTAACTTGAACTACTTCAAAATTGATTGGTGCCTGCAATAATTCAATTGTTGACGGGAATTCTCACAATTCAACTTCTTCATTGTAGAAAAATTTTTCGAATAGTTTAATCGAAATAAATACATGGCAATAGGAGAATATTGTGCGAATGTGATTTATCATTTCCGGTCCGATACCGTCTCCCGGTAATGCAGTTACAGTATGACGACCACCATATTTCGAAAGAGGTACCTGAGAATAGAATCTCATTGTTTTAGTTTTCTGAATAAGTTATTAATGATAATATGAAATGTATAGCATGCCCACTCTTTTTCCAGGTAGGATATGAGTCCTTATATTTGATGCTTC